CTTTGCAGTGGGGTTCAGGAGCTGGAGGAGGGGGCCAATGCACAAATGAAAATTCTATACAAGAAATATGACTTTAGAAGGCATTGGGGGCCAGGTGGAGACCTCTTTCTTGAAGAGGCACACCGACTTCTGGCCTGGTCCGCTGTTTATTTACTTGAATACACATTTACCCTTTTGCAATGCATACAGGCATATCAAAGGTAAAGTTTGGTAAACAGTAAAAGGATTATCAGGTTAGGAAATTGCCTTGAGCCACCACTATCTCAACACGATTGAACAATCGATGCTTAGCATCAGCCCTGCTAACGCCCAAGGTCCATTGGCCTTCTGCATTCCTTGGTGCATTCTCATGACAGTATTGGCAAGCAGTGGCTTTCTGCACTCACTAATATTCCTGATCTTAATTGTAAATACTGTTATTTAAAAAGCCTAGCATAGTGTCTGCACATAGCAGACACTTAATAAATGACAGCTCTTTATTGTAATAGAATAGTGAAAATTAAGATGTAGTCTCGACTGTGTAGTTGAAAGCACACATGAAGCAAAGGCAATCAGTTATTAGACAATATCTAAGTAAACTGACATAAATTATAAGTGCCATATTCATTTATTCAGAGGATACTATCATTCAGAGAAGGATGGAACAGTTTATGCCAGGACACATAAACCAAAGATCTGGATATTTGGAGGTTTCGCAGCTACTTCGCATTATATAACTAATTGTCCTCCAAGTGGATGTGACTAGTTTTAAAATTGCTCTGTTTCCTTTCAGTTCCAAGTTTGAATTTTTATTTCCCTACTAGATGCCTGGTGCACAAAATTCGTGCACTGGGGTGGTTGTCCCTCAGCCCAGCCTGCACCTTCTCCAATCTGGGACCCCTCCGACATCCCTCTCACAATCCAGGACTGCCAATCGCCCCCAACTGCCCTCCCCTGCTGACCCGGTTGCACCCAACTACCCTCCCCTGCCTGCCAGCCTAGTCACCCCTAACTGCCCTCCTCTGCAGGCCTGGTCCCCTCCAACTGCCCTCCCCTCCAAGCCTGTTCCCCCACTAACTGCCTTCCCCTGCAGGCCTGGTTGCCCCTGACTGCCCTCTCCTGCTAGCCCCTAACTGCCCTCCCCTGCAGGCCTGGTCACCCCTAGCTGCCCTCCCCTGCGGGCCTGGTCCCTCTCAACTACCCTCCCACCTTTTCAGTCCTGGTTGCCCCCAACTGCCCTCCCCTGCTGGCCTGCTCACCCCTAACTGCCATCTCCTGCTGGCCTGATCTCCCACAACTGCCCTCCTCTGCCGGTCATCTTGTGGTGGCCATTTTGTGCAAGGGTGTGGCAGTCAATTTGCATATTATATAGGATACTCTTCAAACTGTCCCTCTTTTTTAAAAAAAATATATTTTATTGACTTTTTACAGAGAGGAAGGAAGAGGGATAGAGAGTTAGAAACATCGATGAGAGAGTAACATCGATCAGTTGCCTCCTGCACACCCCCTTCTGGGGATGTGCCCGCAACCAAGGTACATGCCCTTGACCGGAATCGAACCTGGGACCCTTGAGTCCGCAGGTCGACGCTCTATCCACTGAGCCAAACCAGTTACGGCCAAACTGTCCCTCTTGATTACTCTTTGTGTTTGATTTAATCCTCAAGAGAGGATAGGTTTAGATAGAGGAAGAGAGAGAAAGGAAAAGAGAGAGAGAGATTTCAGTCTGTTGCCTCCATAAGCACTCCAACCTTGGATCAAACCTGCAAACTTGGTATATGCTCTGATCAGAGTCGAACCCTCCACCTTTTGTTGTATGGAATGATGCTCCAACCCACTGAGCCTCCTGGTCAGGGCTGGATTGTTTATGTCTTTATGTGCATAGTCCTCTCTTTTTTTTTGACAACCATTTTAAGCACTTACATTTATTTTTAACAAAATATAAAATGTATATATCAAATTTATTTACTCTCTTATGTATATATCAAATTTATTTATTCTTCCACATGTGCAATCACATAACATTTTTTCCATGTATATTTAGTTTATGTATATTGACAGTTTAGTATTTTATTACGTAAGTATTAACTTCAGAAATGGAGACCAGGAACTGCGGCCCAGGATTTGTGAACATCTATCTATTAATAGATATATTTTCTTTCTCTTCTAGGCTATTGTGGTGACCGATGGAGAGCGTATTCTTGGCTTGGGAGACCTTGGTAGTAATGGAATGGGCATCCCTGTGGGTAAATTGGCTCTGTATACAGCTTGTGGAGGGATGAATCCTCGTGAATGTCTGCCCGTCACTCTGGATGTGGGAACAGAAAATGAGGTAAACAATTTAAGTCTCTAAGAAAGCTGTTAACCTTCAAAAACAAAACAAAACAATAATTCCTTTATTTTGAGCTTATGCCAAGAACCTCATAAAATTAATTACTTTCTGGCTGGTTTTCTTCTCCTCAAACCTGTCCCCCAACTTTTATAAGAAAATTATTTTCTCTTTTCATCTTCCCTTCTTTATAATATTATTACTCTTTTACCAGCTTCTTTAGTGACTATTATCCTTTGATGAGTATTTATACTATTATTCTATAGAGTATTATGTTTTACTTTAGACTATCATAGTTTCTTTTTTTAATTATTATGTTCATACTACATAGGAACCCAAAGGATATTAAGTTTAATCAGCCTGAAATGCTTTTATCCTAAAAGTTTGTATTAAACCTTAGGTAGATGATTTGGAGTTTAGTCTTTTTCATCCTGCAACAGTATTTTAGAATCTTAAAGTCATATATCAATTAGTACATATTTTTGCTCATCCTTTATTGCTAATATCCAGGATTAGTTATGTGTGAAAAATACTAGAAATTAAAGGCAGAATTTTCTGAAATAGAGATGAAAGATAATGGTCAGTTAAGGATAGAGTTTTTATTTTATTTTTTTTTAAATATATTTTATTGATTTTTTACAGAGAGGAAGGGAGAGAGATAGTCGGAAACATCGATGAGAGAGAAACATCGATCAGCTGCCTCCTGCACATCTCCCATGGGAGATGTGCCCGCAACCCAGGTATATGCCCTTGACCGGAATCAAACCCGGGACCCTTCAGTCCGCAAGCCGACGCTCTATCCACTGAGCCAAACCGGTTTCGGCAAGGATAGACTTTTTAAAAGTTACATACAAATTTCAGACCTAGGTCCGGAACAGATTCATTATCAAATAAGACCTTGATACTTGAAATAAATATGTATACTTTTTTTATAGTTTTTTTGTTCCTTCCTAAAGCAACTTAAGATATAAGTTTTGACCTGTTAGTAATCCTATATAAGAAAAGGTTAATATGCAAATTGACCCTAACAGCTGAACGACCTGGAATGACCAGTTGCTATGATACATACTGACCACCAGGGGCATATGCTTAGCCACAAGCCAGGCTGACAGCTGCGAGCACAGTTGTGGTGGTGGGAGCCTCACCTGCCTCCTCGGCAGCACTAAGGATGTCTGACTGACGGCTTAGGCCTGCTCCCCTCAGGCTGTCAGTCGGAAATCCCCCAAGGACTCCTAGGCTGCCAGAGGGATATCTGACTACTAGCTTAGGCCCGTTTCCCCAGAGAGTGGGCCTAAGCTGGCAGGTGGACATCCCCCATGGGGTCCTGGACTGCGAGAGGGCACAGGCTGGGCTGAGGGACCTCTCCCCCCCACAACCTCCCCTGCCCCAAGTGCATGAATTTTCATGCACCAGACCTCTATTGTTATAATAATAACTTAAACAGTTTTTATGGTTTTTTTTATTGAGAGCCAAATTTTTTAAACTTAAACTATATAGGTAGGTAAATTGTTATTAACTTAATTAAGGTACTCCTAAGGCTTGGGAAGAGCCACACTCAATGGGCCAAAGAGCCGCATGGGACTCGTGAGTCGCAGTTTGCCGACCACGGGGTTAGGGCAACAGTTTTTATGTTTAACTTCCTGTGTATACATGAGTTCTCATTTAACCTTTATAAAGGATACAGTTTGACAAAAACCAATTGCTTATCTGGCATTTTCTTTTTCAATACCGAAAGAAATGACTTAGAAATGATCAAAGCTGACCTCTTATAACAATTATTCTAAAGCTGAGTATGTAGATTGAATATTTCCTCTTTTTTCATATATTTTAAAACATTCTTCTGTGATAAATTATATTGAAATCAAAGTTTAAAAATCACAAAATCTGTAGAACATCTTAAAAATTCTAGGAAGAAATAAAGAAGAGTAAAGAGTGATAAAACAGGCATGCAAAAATTTAAGAGTTTGTTTTTAAACTTGGGCCTTTTAATGAGATTGTATAATGTGGACATAGAGTAAATTGTGCACTACTGAAACCAAACACAGAGACTGTTGATTGTATTAGTTATATGAAATATATAATTTTCTGAAAGTATGTCTTAAAATTATCAAATTTGCTAATTGTCTTGAAATTTTCTCACATTATGTCCATTTAGTATTCCTTTCTTATTTTGGTAGTCACTGCTTTTATGTTATTCCATTTCTGTCTCTCAGCCTGCAAAACCCATCTATCCATCATCAGATTTCTTACTTTGCCCTGCTGTAGATCTAGCTCTCTAAATTCTTTTTCCATTAAAATGCCTGGTGCATACCATATTTCAAAGTTTTTGAGCTGCTAAATTAGAAAATAATCTGATATGTTAAATTAATCTATTTTTAAAGTACTATGTGTTATTTCTAGACATTTTTGCTTACTGCCAGTGGGCTGTTGGAGACATTAGGGGGAAAAAATAAGTGAGGGGTGGAATATTCACTCTTTGACAGGTCACTGGAGAATATCTTTTTAACCTAAGAGACTTTCCTGAAATTATTCAGAGTTTTGTAGAGTTTGAGTCAGATTATGTTGGTTTAACTGAGTTAGATAAATATTGAGCACCTATCTGTCAGGGCCTAAGTGAAGGCTCGATAACATCAGAGTAAACAACTTAAGATCTTGCCAGCAAGATGCTCTGAATCTAGAAGAGGAGACACATATGTAACTAGATTCAGCATGCACTGAATGCCTTCATAGGGACATTTGACAAACTATTAAGGACTGCTAGCAAACCATTTCTCTGCCAGTTCGAATATACTCTGAGTCTCTAACTATATTTCAGCAATCTGTTTATAACTTATCTTTTTCCAAAATCATATGTAAGAAATTTAATAGTGAAAATGTATATCACAAATGTCAGTTAAAGTTCTTGTCCTAAAAAGAGAATAAATTATTAGTTCCTTTAGACCATTTAGCTATACCTGAAATTAGCCAAACTACAAAATTTGAGGGCATAGTTTCAAGACTGCTCTCACTTCGGACACCAACTGAAAGGTTTGGGGGGTTTCCCAAAGCACTCTCAGGTTTTTTAAGGCTTATACTCAAAGATCTCACTGAAAGTTTTTACAATTACAGTTAAGTTGTATTAAAGGGACAGGGTACATATTAAAATAAGCTAAAGGAAGTGATACACAGGGCAGAGTCTTAGAGGGCTCTAACTGTGAAGCTTCTATTTTCCTGTCTTTGGGAAGTCAAGACACATTATCTTCCAGTGTTCAAGTGTGGGACTGATATGTGCTCTAGGATTTCATTACCTAGGCATGATTGATTGATTGCCATGTATTCTCTGTCTCCAGTTGACTGATACCAATGACCCAGGGTTCCCCAACCCAAATCACATGGCTAATTTTCTGGCATAGCCAGCCCCCACCCTGTGACTATTAGTTATGGTCACTAGGCAACTAGATAAAGGGTTAGGCCCTATCCAAAATAGTTGAATGCACGTGAATCATGTCACCAGAGTCCATGCAAACAATAGACCAAAATATGAGGCAAACACAAAAAGAAAAATAGGTCTAAATTTTAATGTCAAGTAGAATTCAAACTCAGATCAGATTATGGGTTTGATTATTCAAGTTTCAGAAAACATAGTTCCTGTGCTCTAGAAACTGCTCCAGAACATATTAAAATTGATAGCTTCACATTTCTTTATAAGCTTGATTTCCAAAGCTGGTAAAAATAGTACATAACAATTAGTCTTATGTTTATCCACATTCCCAGTTTCATTGTTTACTAATTGTATGATCTTGAAAAAGTGACTTAACTTTTTTTGTTTTTAATATTATTTTATTGATTTTCAGAGAGGAAGGGAGAGGGAGAGAGAGATAGAAACATCAATGACGAGAGTCATTGATTGGCTGCCTCCTGCATGCCCCCTACTGGGGATCGAGCCCACAATCCGGGCATGTGCCCTGACTGGGAATCAAACCCAGGACCCTTCAGTCTGCAGGCTGGCGCTCGATCCACTGAGCCAAACCAGCTAGGACATGACTTAACTTTTATGTGCTTCAGTTTCCTCATGCAAAATGAGTACCTATCTTATAGAGTTGTCATGATTTAATATTCTTAAGAGTCTTTAGAATTGTGACTGGCATTTTGTAAGTACTTAGTAATGTTAATTTACATTAATGTAGATCAGAAACAAAAATCTTTCATAAAATATTGCTAAATTAAATATTGTTAATATATTTAAATACATTTATAATTCTTACTGATTTTTAGGGAGAGGGAAGGAGGGGGCGGAGGAAGGAGAGAGAGAGAGAGAGAGAGAGAGAGAGAGAGAGAGAAACATAGATGTGAGAGAGAAACATCGGTCTTTTGCCTCCCACATGTGCCATGATCAGGGATTGAACCTGAAACTGGGGTATGTGCCCTGACCAGGAATCAAACTTGTCACCTTCTGATATACGGGATGACACTCCAACCAACAAAGCCACCCCGTCAGGGTGCACAGTTACTCTTTGTTTATGATACCATTGCTCCAGGTCTTGGCTTTTCTGATTCTGGTTGTATGTTTAGTCTGACTTTTAGTTCATGTGAACATTGTATCTAGATCTAGACTCGTCATTGGAACTTGAACTCAGGTTGAAGCCTCTTCCCATTTAGAAGGTTTCCCCTTGTGTTCTAGAAAGTGTTCTTCATCTGTGGCATGAGCCAGCTGTCAGAAGCTGAACTAAAGAAAAACCTTATAGATTTTCTGTCATATGTATCTGCCATGTATCTTTCAGCCCTTGTACAGAAGCTAGCATTGGCACTAGAATGTGGCTGGCATTCGTTTTCGATTGCTAACATAGCAATTTATTACCAACTTGGTGGTTTAAAACAACACAAATATACACAAGCCTCAAAAGGCTAAAATCATAAAAGGTGCCAGCAGGGCCGCATTCCCTATCCTTGCCTTTTCCAGCTCCTACAGACTCATTCCTTTGTTCGTGTCCCCCTGGTCCACGCTCAAAGCCAGCAGTGCAGTA